CATCCTCTTCTCCTACCTTCTATCTTCTGTATGCTCCTCCTCCCTCCCCCTCGTCACTCTGAGCACCCTCATCTCTCCCCTCTCCCCCACCCTCAATAGTTGTCAGCCCCGTTCTTTCCTTTCCCACCCTTTCTGCTCCGTCTGCTCCTCTCCCTCCTCCTTTCCTCCCTCCTGCTCCTCCCCCATCTCCACCAGCCTTCTCGCTCATTCTCTTCCATTTCCACTCCGCCTCTTGTGCCTCCCCATGTCTTCCATCGTTCTTGACTTAATTTTCCTGTTTTGTCTCCTTGTGAGTCTCCTCTTCTTCCTCCTCCTCTTCACTCTCTGCCACCTTCTAATTTTGCTTCTCTTCTTCCAGTTGTCTCTCCTGCTTGTCCTGCTCTTCTGCCATCTCCATCCCTCCTCTTCTCCATCTCCTCTGTCCCTCCTCTTCCTCCATCTCCTCTGTCCCTCTGTCCTTCCTCTTCATCTCCTCTTCCTCCATCTCCTCCGTCCCTCCCCTTCCTTCTCATGTCCTCCATCCCTCCTCTTCTTCCTCCACGTCCTCTGTCCTCTTCCTCCATCTTCTGTATCCCTCCTGGTTCTCCATCTCCTCTCTTCCTCCTCTTCCTCCATCTCCTGTTTCTCCTCTACCTCTTTCATCTCCTTCACCACCTTCATCTGTTTCCTCTTCTCCCTCTCCATCTCCTTCATCTACTTCCTGTTTCCTCCTCCTCCTGTTCCTCCATCTCCTCTGTCTCTCCTCTTCCTCCATTTTCTCTATCTGTCCTCTTCCTGCATCTCAACTGTCCCTCCTCTTCCTCCTCCCTGTCCTCTGTCCCTCTTCTTCCCCCATCTCCTCTCTCCCTCCTCTTCTTCCATCTCCTCTGTCCCTCCTCTTCCTCTTCCATCTCCTTCAGCCATTCATCTGTTTCTTCCTCCTCTTCCTCCATCTCCTCTGTCCCTCGTCTTCCCCCTCCATCTGTTACATCCCTCCTCTTCCTCCACCACCTCCTCCTCCATCTTCTGTCCCTCCTTTCTTCTCCATCTCCTGTCCCTCCTCTCTGCTACATCTCTTCTATCCCTCTTTGTTCTCAATCCCTTCTTCCTCCTCTTCCCCACCTCCTGTCCCTCTTCCTCCTCCATCTCCTTCACCAGTTCGTCTTTCTTCCTCCATCTCCTCTTTCCCTCCTCTTCCTCCAACTTCTCCATCCCTCCTCCCCTTCCTTCTCATCTCCTCCATTCCTCCTCTTCTTCCTCCTCGTCCTCGTCCTCCTGCTCCTCGTCCTCCTCCTGCTCCTCGTCCTCCTGCTTCTCCTCCTCCTGCTCCTTATCCTCCAGCTCCTCCTCCTCCTGCTCCTCCTCCTCCTTGTCCTCCAGCTCCTCCTCCTCGTCCTCCTCCTGCTTCTCCTCCTCCTGCTCATCTTTTCCTCCTCGTCCTCCTGCTCCTCCTCCTCTTCCATCTCCTCCTCCATCTCTTCCTCCCCCTCTTCCTCTCCCTCCTCTTCCCCCTCCTCCTCCCTCTCCCACTTCCTTACTCCTTTTCCTGCGTCTCCCTCTCCCTCTCGGCACATCCTCTCCCTGCCCTCTCCTCTTTTTCTATGTCCCTTCCACCTTTCCCTGCTCTCTGTATCTGACACGAGCCAATGTCTACATCTAAAGTGATGTTGCTGTCCATTTCTGGCCGCCCTGCCCCTTTCTGATTCTCTTATTGCCTCTTTACTTCCCTCCCCTTTCCTCTGAACCCTTCCCTCCCACCTGTGCTGGGTCCTCGCCCCAGTCCTAGCCTCAGAGGTTGTGGAACAGGATATCTAGGGCTTGACATGCCTCCTGGGTTGGTTGGTCCGCCCCTGTGCAGGCTCCTATCTGGCCCTAGGCTCTACTCTGGAGATGAGGAAAGTGGGGGGGGCGGCAATTGTTCAGTGTGCTCAACTCCCCCTTGCCCCTTCCCAGCCGCACCTTCCTCCTTCCTCTACTACTACCTCGTCCCTCCAGCCTCCTTCCCACCCTGCCCTCCTCAGGATCTCTGTACTGTCTCCTTTCTGTCCTCACCTCACTGTCATTTCTGGAATCCTGTTTTCTCACTGCTCACTCTCCTCTTCCGTTTTCTCCACAATTCAGGCTCTCCCACTGACCCTGTGGCCTCCTGTCCCTCCCAACACCCCCTTGCCTCTTCCTGAGATTTCTAGTCTCCCCTTTTACACTTACAAACTACCTCTACCTTCCATGGTGTTTAAGTCTTCATCTTCCCGACCCTCCCCTTCCCTCATATGTACTCTGATGACTGGTGCTGACAACTCCCCCAGCCCCCCACTGTCCCTCCCTTGCAGCCCTGCCCCCAGGTCAGCTATGCTGGGAAGGCCTGAACTCCCCAACGTTGGGGCTATTTTTATCCTGTGGTTTACAAAACTTAGGTCCTGTCCTGCCAGGCCCCGAGATCTGGGCTCCAGTGTCTCCACTGCACAGGCTGTGTGCCTGGGACACAGGGTCATCCAAGGGCTGGGAAAGACGACTTGTCACGAAGGAGGTGGTCCACACAGTGGCCTTCCATCCTGTCTTCCCTTCCTCCCCCTCTGGCTCCCTTCTCTCAAGGCAGGGCTCTCCGAGAGCCCTACCCCATCTTCCTCCTTGCCCCGTCTGACACTCCCCGCAGCCCACCCTCAGCAGACCAGGGGTCACTCTGCTGCCTCTCTCTCACAGTCCCTTTCCCTGTACCCCGCTGCTCTGTGGGAAGCAACACTGGAGGGCCCCGATGGCCCAGTCATTCGGGTGGCTGGGTCCCCATGTCACCAGGCCATCCACATGGATGTCTCAATCCCCTACACCAATGGATCCCCAAGGAACAGAAGTCAACCCACCACACACAAGGGTCCCATGTCCCTCCTTGCCGATGTGTGTCTTCCTGTGCTCCTGTCCCCAACTGCATGGCCTTAAGAGTCTTCAGACTTTTATCCAGACTGTTGGGAAATGCTGACCCGGTGCTCCTGGCTGGCCCGGTGCTCCCGTGGCACCCTTGCCTTGCCTTACTCCCATCCCGTCTGCATTTCTCCCTCATCTCTCATCACTTCGCCCCCTCCCCGCACCTTCCTGTGTCACCCTCTGGTCACCATCCCTTCCACCTCCTTTTCCATCCTTGTCACTCAAAGTCGTCCTCTCCTTTCCCTCCATCTGCTCGTCTTTTCTGTTCTTCCATCCCTCTCCCCTTGCTCTGAACAATAATGAGTTACAATAACGACCAGCCTGGCAAGATATGCCCATGGGTGCAATAGTGGTATGCTTGTTAAAGGGGTAACCAATCGACTCGTGCTTAGTACTGTCAATCAGGCCCAACCTGGGGGCAGGGGGTGAGAGGCATGAGCCGGAAGGAAGAACCTACTGTTATTTCACTCTGGCTTCATTCTTGGTTCCCCATGCTCCCCAACTGTCACCTGTTCCTCCCCCTGGGTCACAGACACAGCTGCAGCATGGCCACCAAGATGGCAGGGACAGGTGTCTGTGAGGTTGGGGACCCCACAGGTGACACCAGGCTCCTGGGTCATCCTCTGCTCCCTCCTCCCTTACTTTCTAGCTCCTCCTGACCTGCAAGTCCCCTCCCTGCTGCCTGAGGTCCCTGGGTCCTGTCTTCACCTGCTCCTGCCATCACTCCCCACCTTACACTCACATCCTCAGCTACCGCAGCCTCCCAATGCCTGGGCCACTGTGTCCGACTTTCCGTCTGTCTTTCATGGGTTCTCTCCATCCTCGGTCCTTTTCCCTACCTATCTCCTTTCTCTGCTCATCTCTACTTCTGCCTCTTCCTTCTCCTCTGACCCTCCTCTCTCCATACTGCTCTCCTCCCTCCATACTGCTCTCCTCTCCCCTTTCCCTTCACAGTCAGTTTTTCTCCCTTTTAAATTTTTATTTTATTTATTCATTTACTTTCTATTTGTTCTTTTTTTTTTTTCTTGACACGAGGGTTCACTATGCAGCCCAGGCTGGCCTTGAACTCAGAGATCTGCCAGCCTGTGCCTCCCAAGTGCTGGGATTAAAGGAGTGTGCCACGACACCTAATCTCTCTCCTCTCTCCCTCCCTCCCTCCCTCCTTCTCCTCCTCCTCTTGCTTCCATTTTGTGTGTATGAGAGAAGTGTATGATGTGTGTATGTGTGGTGTGTTTTGTGTGTGTAGGCCAGAGGTCAACCCCGAGTGTCATTCCTCAGATGCTGTCCACTTAAAAAAAATGTTTTGTTCTTGGGGTCAGACCCAGCATCTGGGCTGGGGGACAGAGCCTCGCTTGGGTCTCAGGCCCTCGCTGGGGCTCTCTGCTGAGCTTCTCTCAGGAACATTACAGGCTGTGACAGGCTTCGTTGGGGGTTCTGGGAAGGATCGTTGGAGGTGGTGTGGGTCGTGCTGCTGTCAGGCTGTTCTTATCAAGACCATCATAGTTTTTTGGTGTGTATTGCTGTGTCTTGTGTTGTATTAAAATATATTCTAATAAAAATGTTTTTTTGAAAACATTTCCTAAATATGAAAATACTATGTATATTGGCACCATTTCTTGATAACTACAACTACCTACCATAAAAGTAAAATGATTAATATCTTGGAACAGATGATACCAGTACACTTACTGAACATAA